CGATCACCAAAATGCAGAAGCGGTGGGGCTCAGAGATGGCCTTCTGCGGCCCCGTGGCCAGACGCTCAACCAGTCCTTCGCCGGGCATCCCTCACGCCGCCAGACTCGAGTGGTTTCTCCTCCTGCTGAAATGCTGGACGCGCACCGAGTGGCCTGGACTACGCCTGTGTGTGCGCGTGTGCTCCCGTTTGAGACTCGCTTAGTCGGATTTCTTAACACGCAAAACAAACACAACAAGGGGGCAGAAAGAGAACTCCAAGAACGGCACTCACGCACACGCACGACAGGCCACAGCGTGCCGCACAGACGATGGGGCTTCGCCGCGTCCCAGTTCCTCCCCGCGAACTACCCGCCAAGGAGAAGCGTGGAAAGGGGTGCTACTGGGCACGGTTGGAAAGCGCAACAAGCAGCCACACATCAAGGAAGCAACGGAACTCGGGGCCGGCCCCGCACCAACCACCCCCTCGTCGCCGGCAGAAGAAGGGAACGGCATCGAACCAATGCCCTGCCCCACTCCTCACTGCACGGCCGCTTGGCTGCATGTGCCCGCTTGAGCTCCCCACCGCGTGGGACGCGCGACTCCCCCCCCCCACCACCACACAACATACCTACCGCCGCAGCATTAGTACTCCTTGGCATATTTATATCCAGGGGTATACACACACGCAGATACTCGGGCGCAAGTGGAGCGTGCAGGCAGAAAAATAATCACAATGTGGGGGTAGAGACTTCCCTCACGGGTGCGGGGCAGCAACCGCTCCACGGCCGCACGCATCCGCGAGAAGTATTCGCCTGGCGGCGGCCCCCCGCTCCTCCTCTCCGCGGCGGGAAAGGGGAAAGGAATGCGACCGCAGTTCGACCCGGCGGACGCACCTTCGCCCCCCGGACGGGGCCCAGCAACCACCCACACGCCAGCAAAGCGGCTGGCCCGCAGACCAACCCACGACACCTGGGCTCCCACCGTGAGCGCAGAAAGCGGCCGTCGTTAGGGCCACGCGACGCACCATCCGCGCGGAGATGCCCTGTGACCGCACGTGTGCTCAAGGCGTGCCGATTTCGTGGACGTCAAAAATAATACACTAAATACAACTTCTATTTGCCGTGCCAAGGGGCACTGCCCCCTCTTCAAAGGCGTCACCCCGCAACGGGGCAGTGTCCGTGCAGGCACCAATGCGTTGGGGCAAACCCTCGGCGCATGCCGGCAAGGCAAGCAAAACGGCCCGTGCTTCCGCCTGCATGAGAGAAGGGTTGGGGGGCACCGCAGCGGTTCCCCGGCCCACCTCGACTCCTGCAACAGCCGGAAGCGGCAACGCGCAATAACCGTGTGAAACTGCACCTGTGCCGAGGCAAGTCCCCGGAAGCCCACGATTTTTTAAATGTCGTGCATCCAGGCACTTCCAGAGGGGTCCTGCAAGCGACGCAAAGCCACAACCAACAGATGTCTGAGGTAAAAGCAGAACCCAGGATCGCCCGAGGAGGTTCCCTCAGTAGAAAAGCGAGAATGAGTCGGCGCACCGCCTTAAAGAAAAGGAAACTGCGTCATCAAGCGGAATTCCAAAATTTCCGTGGCGCACAGAAACTTCGGGGTGGCAACCTCCGGCCCAGCCACTGTGCAACCCCTCGGCGTTCCCTTTTTTTATGTGTGTGTGCGAGTGTGTGGGAAATCGTCGGACAGCCTGTAGACTCAGTCGGTAGCCCGGTGGAAACACAAAGCTGCGCACGTTTCGTGTAGAGGCGTCGTGGCCAAATAAGTTGATTCTGCTGCAGCGTGCTGGCTGTCCCTGTCACCCTTTGTCAGCCATCGACAGAGAGGCCCATTGCAAACCTGACCGCAGACTCGAGCCGGATGCGGCGGGATCTGCGCATCCAAAAGCAGCGCCGCCCTGAAGCTGATCGTTGGCGTGTTGCCGGGGTTCAACGAGGGCGTGCACCCGCACACCCCAGAAAATGCGCGCAAAAGCCTCCTCAACCCCGTGCGGGTTGCCTGTCCCTGACACCACAACGCTCTGCGCCGCTTTGACCTCCCTGTCACGAAGATGGCCGCCGCCGTCGCGCCAAAACAAGCGGCCGCTGCTTCCCACCTGGCAGGGCGACAGTTGCAGCCAGCGGCCCAAGGAGTCAGGCTCAGTCAGCACTGCGGAAACACCCCCTCATCGAGTCCACTCGCAGCAAACAAAAAAAAAGGCTAGCACTCGCCGCCTTCCAACGTGGCACCTTCAGAAAGAAAAACAAGTTGTAGATGAGGCAAAGATGGGAGCTTAACAAAACGCTGAATCATTGATTTAGCCCAACGTGTCGGACATTGGGTTCGCAAGCTGCTCTCCTAAAAAAAAAAAAATGGAAACTCGAGAGAACATGTGCTTAAAAGGAAGCGCGCACATGCACAAGAATAGTTTATCTTTCTGTAAATGTAGTTCCTTTTTTTTTCTCTTTTTCTTTGGTGAGAAATTTTTCTCACCCTTCAGTTTCTCATCCAAATAAAGGGACTTGTTTACAACTGTAGCCTCGCACATTGTTCTCCTCTCATGGAATGCCAGTGGCGGTACGTGGAGTTGTGTGGGTGCTCTTTGCTGCTGCAGCCGCAGCAGCTCCATAATGCCACTGCTGCACCTCGGTTAGAAGTCTGGTAAACCGTTCCTCCAGATCGGTGTTTTGAAGTCGCCGCTGGGGCAAACTAGAGGCGCGTTCTTCAGCAGGCAACTCAAATGCTACACGATTGCGCCGCAAAGTCACGGCATTGCCGTTGCTATTTGGCCTATGAGAGGTGTTATTTGACAATGGTGGGTTACGCACCTTCCGCACTCGCTCGCGGTTGTGTCCCAGAGCCACAACTGGAGACTGGCCGCCATTCTGGGGCTTGCCGGCATGCACGGCCTCATTTGCCGTGTGAGAACGGCTAAATGGGGCCAGCGCCGTCGCCGCTCTCGCACCATGTGACGCGAGCCTCTTTGCCGGGGCAACTTTGCTGCCGTTGCGGAGGTTCGTCTGCGACGCCGGAGCAATTGATACAGGCTTCTTTGCGACTCCTACAAAAGTGACTCTTTTTCCATTCGCAGAAGACGTCTTATCAAAAGATATTGTTTTTTTTGGGGCTGCGGATCCATTCGTTACCGGTTGACGCAACGATGTTGTGCTGTGTGTGGCAACAAATGGTTCCGGCCCCGACCTTGTCGGCCTCGTGGCCCAGGGGGGAATAGGGCCAACCCTTGAACTAGCACCGCCTGCGTTTCCTTTGCTAAAGGGTGTCCCCTTGGGCTGAAGTTGTAGTCGACGGTGGGCTGGCCGACGCGCTATGGGGTCCTTTTCATTTCCACGCCCCTCCACTAGGCGCTGCAGGCATGCCTCCACGGTCTCCACAGAGGAGAATGCCCGTTGTGAATCAAGCAGAGAGGTTGATGGGGCATGTCCCGTCTTCATCGATCGCTCAAAGAAGGGGATCATGTCAGTCGTAGACAGAGAAGGGAGATTGGCAAACATGAGCGCTAGCTGAGCCGCGTCCATAATGGGTGGAAGACCAGAGGCCAAGGGAATCATGTGCCGTATCACGGAGACGCACACACTAAGCGCCTGCGTGTACTCCTCTTCACGGTTCATGATAGAACGACACTCCTGGTGGTAGTGCGCCGCGAGGCACTCTGCCTCCGTGCAACTTTGTCGCAGCTTCACATTATCCATAAGGAGCTCCAGCAGTGGGTGCTGCTTCTCCCGCAACAGCTCTTGACGAATTCCGGCAATGGTGCGATCCGTCTCATTCATTTTTTCCAAAAGTTCTTCTATTTTCCCACCCTGTGCCGCTGCTTCCACCTCCATCTTTTCAATGGCGAGCCGCAAACCCGCCACACCAACCGGTGCCGCCTTCTCTCCATTGGGGTCGCCAGCGGTCGACTTTCGTCGGGTGGCAAGAAAACGGGCAAGCTTCCACTTGTGCTGCCGAAGTCGAATGTCGAGGTCACTGTTGGCCTCCTGCGCCTCCTGCATCGCCCGATAGAGGGTCTCCTTCGCCACGGAGAACTTTTTCAGCTTCTTTTGCAGTACTGTGTAGGCGTCCGAGCCCTCCCCCCCTCCCAGCGTCATCCGAGTAGATATACGGCGTGAGGTTTGAATCAGACTGGGCGAGGCCTCTTGAGACTCCAGTCGAATGTCGTTTCCCGCTACAAGTGTCGTCGTGGCGGAAAGCGGCGGTTGCTCGTTTTTACAAGGCGTCAAAAGCGGCATCGGGGAGGAAAGATCCACGAAAAATTGCGAATTTTGTCGGCCCACAACGCTGCGGCTCATGGTGGCCGCAGGGCTGCCCCCGCGCAGCCGCAGTAGCTCCTCCCGGGCCTGTGCCAGCTCCAAGCGGAGCTCTTCAATCAGCGCCTCCTGACTTTTGGCCACCTCCTTCGAATCAACACGGAATTCGTGGCGCTTGGCAGAGACCTGAACCTCCTTCGCCTGCATCGCAAAGAGCATCGTGTTGATTGTCTCTTCGTACATCTTACTACTTGGGCTAACGCAGAAGAGCATTAGGGTGCGGCAATTCCCGCCGAGGCAATCCCGCAGTAGCCGTGTCAGCTTGGAGCCTCGGTAGGGAATATAGTTCGTCCGACCGGGGTGCTTCTTGCGATGGGCCAAGGCCTGCACCACAGCGCCAAGCGCAAGAAGAGAGCGGTTGATGTTTCCGCCCTCCTGTAGACGAACTCCGCTGTTACTCGTGCCAGCAGCCCTTTCTGAACCCGCCAAGTCGCAGAAGCGAATACGACCCACGGTGCCCAGCGACGCATCCACAGTGTCCTTCACCTCCACTTCCAATGTAAGAATCGCGTGTGAACGGCTGGACTGAACATTGACGTTGGTAGACGCAACAAATCTATTTGCGTGACCACGCTCCACAAACTTGGCGAAGTCCTCCGCGTTCTGGGGGGTAACGTGTGTGAGGCCCTTCACGCTAAGACTCTCAAGGTTCACACCACTCTTCTCCCCGTCGTGGGCGCCGTCTTCCTGACCAAAGTCCTGCACCTTCAGCGGAGTCCGTTTTCCACGCGGGCTCGACGGCACCAGCAGGTCAAAGACCTCCTCATTGTAGACTTCCAGGAACGTGCAACGTACCGTGACCACCTTCTGTTCCTCGGCCTCTAGTCGCTCCTTCTCCTCGAGAATGTCCCGCACGCCCTGGTATATCACCCCTGGCACACTCATGCTGCCGCCAAACATGGTGTGCGTCTTCCCCGAACCGGTTGCACCGTAGGCGAGAATAGAGCCATTGATGCCGTCAAATACGCCGGCCACAATGTTACTGCAGGCGTCGTAGACCTCGAGCTGTGTGCTGTGTGGGTGAAACACCTCGTCGACCCTGAAATGCTGCGGCCGAGGCTGGGCATGACGGGCACCAAAGTAGCGCGTCGGCGAGTGCATCGGGACGCCGTGGACAACAATTCCATCCTTGAGGCACTGCAGGATGTTCTTCACGGAGGGGTCCGCGTGCTCCACCGTGGACAAGGGGCGCACGCGCACCATGACGCCAACCGCGCTCCGTTCCATTTGCGCCGGCGCTTTGGCTGCGTCGCCCTCCCCTCCGCTCCCGCCCATGTCGTCGGCAACCGGCGCTGCCAGCTCACTCTCGGAAGCCATCCCCCGCCCCGGCCCGGCGGTGTCAGCGATGCGCTGCCCTCTTCTGTTTCGTCTTCAGTTCCTCCTCCTTGACGTCCCCGTTCAGCCTCCGCCCCCTCCCCTTCCTGCTGTCCTGCGGCCGGTGAGGATCTACGTAGTGGCCCCCGTCGAAATAACCTCACTGCCCACTTCGGAGGAGTACTTCTGCAGCTGCCGTCCAAGGCACGGGGAGCAACGAGCACGGGCGAGGCATGCAAAAGAGAAAAAAAAAACCGAGTGTAAGCAGGCAACAACAACAATGCGATGGGGAGGGAAGACTACACGCTGCGGGGCAACACTGCAACCCCCATCGCAGAGGAGGAGGAGGCGGCACCAGACTCTTCCAGGCGGGAAGACACACAGTGAGAGCGCCCATGCAAAAAAAAAAATGATAAAAAAAGATGTCCAGGCATGTCCAGGCGAATTTTTTTTTATTCCATTTTCATTTTCATTTTTCCTGCGTGAGTGTGGTTTCCTTCCTCATTACTTGCTCTTGTAAGCTGCCCGCATTAAAAGCGCAACTACACACACACACACACACACACACACACACACACACAGGGACGCCTACCTCGAGACTCTTGGCTTCAGAGCGTGGGCACTCGTCTCTTCTTCTTGCATGCGATTGATGCGCCGAGTGATCTCACGCAGCTCTTCTTGCTGCTCTCGATAATGCTCTTGTGACACCATAGCATTCTTGGCAAATTCTGCGTCACGGGGAACGCTAAGAACGGCGAAGTTATTCTTGCTCACCACGTTTCCTGACGCAACCGCCGCAGTGGAAGGAGTCATAGCGGTGGCAGCAGCCGCAGCAGCAGCAGCAGCCACGCCCGCGCCCCCTGCCTTTCCAGTAGCCGAACTGTTAAGCGGAGGGCGCCGCAGCAGCGTGAAACACACCGCCTGCGCCGGTTCCTCTTCCTGCGTTTCAGCTGCAGACGTTAGGCGAGTATTTTGCACGCAGTGACGCTGGTGCTGGCGATGCATTCGCATGCCCATCGCCAGGTCCTGCTCCATGAGACGTTCCGCAGCCATGCCCCGCGCTACCGCGGCGGCGGCGGCGGCGGCGGCATTTCCCATGGCCTCTCTGGGGTTTTCCGACATGAGGTTGCACAGCTGGGCGTCAAGATCGGCTTCTTCAAGCCGAAGTCGCAGCGCTTCTGCTGCAGCAAACATATCGCCTTCCTTGACTTCCTCCTCCACATCTTCCTCATCACTTTCGTCGTCGTCCTCTTCCTCCTCTTCCTCTTCCTCTTCCTCTTCCTCTTCCTCTTCCTCTTCCTCGTCCTCCTCCTCGTCGTCGTCGTCGTCGTCCTCGTCGTCTGCGGAGGTTGCCTCCGACAGAGAAGCAGAGGAGGTGGCTGACGTGATGATATCTTCGCCGCTGCTGTCGCTCTCGCTACCGCTCTCGTAGTAGTAGGAGGTAGAACTGCTGATAGTTCCTATACTGCTGCGAGTGCCGCTGGTGGCGGTCTGATGCGCGGAATTTTCATCCTCCTCTGTCTCAGCGCCAGATTCGGTGGAAGCCTCGTCTGCATGCTCCAACTCTTCGGGAAGGAAATCCATCGATGCGGCTATGGCGTCCTCCGTCCCGGCGCCGTGAGTGTCCACAGACTCCGCCGCAGGTGTCAGTGGCTCATTTTGGTCGCCTACGCGAAAGAGGCGAAACGAAGGCCCAGCGGCCTGACAGGCTTTGAAGACCTCATGGGCTTTTTCATACCACGCATTGGCAGGATGCACAGCCTCTTCCGCTACAGCCTTGGCGTATGCCTCGGCATCTGCCAGCGTCTCCGGGAGCCTCAACATCTGCGATGGCGCTCCCTCCTCTTGAGGGCCGCTGGTTTGTGGATCCTCCGCCGTTACTTCCTTCGGCCCCAACTCTTGCGACTGCTCCTGGCCGCAGAGCCGCACCCATGCCTCCCGCTGGGCCGCGTCAGAGCGCATGTTATTGTCAAGCTGCTGCACAAGCTCCTTGAGGCGAAGTTGCAGTTGCAGCGACAGGGGCCCTGAAAGGCTAAACCGGTGGAGAAATAGCAGAGACATGAGCTTTCGCAAGAGCTGATGCAAACTGTCAAGGCGCTCCATGGTCCGCGACGCCCGCGAGCGTCCCCCAGTGAGGCCACCCGCACGTGAGTTGGAGATCCAAGGGAGGAACGGGAGGCACTCCCAAAGCAGAGCAACCGAGCACTGCAGACGGCTGTGGTCGTTGCCGTGAGCTGTGGCACAAGGAAAGTATAGCAACATCAGCTGCAACACGTGGACGACGAGACGGAAAGAAACCAGCCGAAGACGGTAGAGGTTGGCGAGATAAAAACAGTCAACCAGGCGCCACTGCAGCGGACGGTAGGCGAGGCAAAACCCAGAGTTCATCCGGTGATTTATCGCGTCGCCATGGGCGCGTTCTGTGGGCGCGGCGCCGACCTCCAAGTCACGCCGTATGTCCTCCACGATCTCGTGCAAAATACGCTGCACCACCTCGATATAGCTTCCTCGGGCGAGCTCGACCAGGAACTCAGCCAGAAATGGTATGGCGTCCCAACTCACCTTGGGTGCGGCGCGCAGTGCGCGGGTGAGCATGTCCCGACTCTCAACATTGTCCCACGGCATCTTAAGCAGCTCCGTACGCACGAAGTTATACGTCGTCGGGGTAAGGAGTTTTTGCAGCAGATACTGCACATACTTCGCCATTGGGCTCTGCTCTTCCGGAGCAGAACGGCAACTCACAACGCAGGCAGGGGGGGCTGATTGCAACAGAGCAAACGCCTGCGTGATAGTGCGCGAGCACTCCTCGCCGATTTCCTCCTCTGCCACCATGTGCTTAAGTTTGTTAACAAGCTTCTCCGCCGTTCGACGTGTTGCGTGGTTGCGAAGCAAAAAAAGACCCCCGTGCTCCATGACAGCAGCGATGGCTGCGGCACTGCAGGGCTGCTTCAGGTCTTCCATCGCGACGCTCAAAACGCTCAGCACCCGTCCCGGTGGAATAGTTGCAAACTTCATCAACTCACACAAGTACCGCACGGTGGAAGTCCAACGACGCTGCAACACCGCGTCGCTGCATACGCCGCCTGCGATAGCTGCCTCTCTTGTCGTGGTGGAGGCGGCGTTAAACTCCCGTCTCCATTGCGCCTCCAGCCCGCCGCCAAGGTAGCCTCCAACATCAGGAAAGTACTGGTGAAAGATGGCGGCGCAGCGGGCCGTTAACGGAAGTTTTGCAGGGTGCCGGAAGCGCGGAAAGTGGCGCAGCTCCAGCGTCAATAATATCCGGCAGTTTGTAAAGAAGAGTGGAGCCCCAACGACGTTCCCCGGCGACCGACGGAGCGGCCGAAGTGCCTCTCCGGCAAACCGTTCGCACCAGTCATCCATCGCAGCGGCGGTGGTGCAGCGGTCAAGTTCCTCCAGCAGACTCAATACTGCTGCGTAGTCGTCAAACAGGGCCGCGGGGACAGCCAACTTCGCCAGTCGCAGTCGCCGACGCCTCACTAACGTCGCGGCCTCGGGGCGAGTTTGGCACCTGCTGCCCTCCAGTTCGTCGTCGTCGTCGCCGCCACCGTCGCCGTGCAGCAAGTCCTCCTCACTGTCGCCGCCGTCGCCAAGACTCGCGGCCGGCAAAGCCGACACTGACGGCGATGCCGTCGCCCCGCCGCAGCCTCTGCTGTGGCGCGAGAACAAATCCCAGTTCGCCTTCTCGGTAGCCAGCAACGAAAGGAGTGCGCCATCCGCCAATGCCTCGATCTCTGGGACGTACTCGTAAAATGCCCGCTGCTCATCGTTCCCAAAACGATTCACCGTCTCCGCCCCCAGAATGGGGCGAAATTTTTGAGTCACTAAAACCCGCACAGCCTCCACCTCCTCCTTTTGCTCAACAATCGAGAGATCAATGGGCAACGGGGCGAGAAACCCCAGCATGCCAAGCAGGTTATCACACACCACATACAATCTTTCCACGTGCTGCTGAAACAAACGAAAACGTGCCTCCTCCGCGTTCAAACGTACGCTTTTTCCACGGAGTTCGGCCGGGTCATTTAAGGCCAGCCACCACTTCTCCACCTCTGCTTTACGTTGCGTGTAAGCCTTAAGCCCCGTCTTCGCAGTAGCCAAGACGATCCCAGCGAAATGTCTTTTTTCCGCATCATTGGTGTAATTTGCTGCTGGAGGCTTGCGGACCTCGCACAACCTTGTCCAGCTTGCCTCCTCTGCCTGGTGCGCCAGAGCAGTCTCCACCGGTCCCACCACCTTGGTAGTGGCGTTGAACGTCAAGCGAGTCCCCACTGGGCCAAGCAGGAACACTGCCATGCTCTCCTCTTCGGCATTGTCGTCGATTGCCAACGCCCCGCAACGGCCCACGAGCTCACGGAGCCCCTCTGGCCCCTTTTCATCGACCCCCTTTTCCGGCAAAGAGGCATGGCAACGCCGCATTCTCGTTGCCAAGCATCTCGATGCCTACTTCGCGCACCATAAGGACCGTGATCGAGAGAACTGTCGCAACGGCTAGGGAGTTATTTGGCGTTCCCGCCCGCCTCTCCGCAAGTTTTTTCAATAATTTCAAGAGGTTCAAGACTGGCTTAGCGTCCGCAAAGAGTCCCACGAGCCACCACTCACAAAACACCCTGGCGACCAGGCGTAGACGATTAAATTCCTCCACCGGCGACTTGCCCGACGACAGTGGGAGAGGGTTTTTGACTGTGGCAGCAGGGGGCGCTGAAGGCGCCGAAGGTGCTGCCGACGTTGCTGGCGGTGCAGTTCCTTCGCCAGCGGTTAGTGCCGTCGCTGACGCGTATTCCTCGATGCGCTCCACAGCAGCCTTGAGTGCCCCGGCGTCCACAATAATCTCAGCATTCTCCCTCAACTCCTTCTGGACCGAGGGCCAAAACTCCTCGTAGCGCTGGTGTACCTCAGAGCAGACTACAGCTAGCGAATGGGCATCCGCCGGCTTCATCCTTGTCCCTTGACAGAGCGACTGCACGACGCCGTGGGCCGCCTCGGAGAGGAACATACCAAGGCTCACAGTCTCAATCTGCGTCAAAATCGCTTTTTCCGACGCCTCGGCGGAGTAGTTTTTGAATCGCTTCGCTAACGCAGTCGCCTTCTTCACGTCAAACTTTAGCCGTGAGCTCCTTGCCGCAAAAGCGCCACGTTGGGGTGCCGGGCTCAAATTGAGCCTCCGCAGCTCTGCCCGCTCAGCAAGGAGATCTGCGGTGGACGCAGACATTTGCAATGCCCCTCTGGCAGTTCCTAACGGTGCCTCGCCGCCTCTGTGCGGAGCACCCACGCCCTTCGTCGTGAGCTATGTGCGAGAGACCGTATTTGCGACCTTGAAGTGAAAGAGGCGCAGTAGCAGCAGCAGCAGTAACAATTGCAGTAATGATCCGGGCGCCGCCGACCGCAAAAAAAAAAAAACAACAACTAAAACTAAAACACACACACACACACGTTTCTTGTGCGGGTGGAGAGGCAAGCCACACGGCAAGAACGAGGGCGTGCAGGGGTAGCGAAAACAGCACTCCTCCCTCTGTCCCTCATCGCTCCTGTCCCCCTCCACGCACTTGCGCAGAGAGGGAGGAGGAGGAATAAGTAGAAGGGTTATACCGTACTCTCTTGTTTCTTCATGTTGATCATTCCCTTTCTGTCACTCAAAAAACACCAGTCCCTCCCTTTTTTTTTCATCAACTTCTTTTCTGTTTGCCGTACTTTTCTTCTTCCCTCCTTCTTGCCCTTTTCTGTCGACCTCTATCTCGGTTTGCCTCATTACTCTATTTCCTGGAGGAAAAAGCAACAACAACTACTGTAGCCAACCGCTGCTCCTCTGCCTTCTATGGATATCTGTTGGTGGAAAGACGGCAGCAGTAACGTACTGCCGTCCTCCCACCTCCCACACACACACACTCTTCTCGGTCTTGTTTCATCTCCTGTATCAAGTGTCATTTATGCTTGGTGTGCCAGGCCCCTTGCTCTGAGGACCGCTCGCCCACGCACCCCTTGACATGCGCCGCCCCAACTCCCTCTTCGCGTGGATCACTGCGGTGGGGCCCTCTCGTACAGCCGGCGGAGCTGCTCCTTGGCGTACCCCATGACTTCCTCCTCATCCGCGTTCTCCTCTTCGTTGTCGCTGTCGGCGTTGTCCTCGCCGCCGGCCATCATCTCCATTATGCGCCGTTTCACCTCTGGCCAGCGCAGCTTCACGATTTCCTCCTTCGTCATGGCGCCAATGAATGCACCCAACGCCGTATCGACGCGCTGTCGGAGAAGTGGGGGCAAATCCACCTCCGCCTGTGCGGTGAGCTCGGGGTTGGCCTCATCTTCAACGTCCTCTGTCCCAGCGGCACGACGCAAGGAGGCCGCCTTCTCGCCTGCTACGCCACCTTCTGAGGAAGTCGCCGCCGTTGGCGCTCGGAATGGAACGTGCGAGAAAATGTGCACCTTTGCGTCAAGAAAGATGGTACTGAGTGCCTCCGCGGCAGAAGTCGAGGGGACAAAAAAATTTGGCAAAAGAACGCGTCCAGGGTACCGCTTGAGAGCCTCTGCGCTGATCTGCCGCTGCCCCAGGCACTCTTGCATTACTCGGCTGCCCAGGTCGCACAGCAGCCGTGCCGCGTGGAGCTCCTTGTAAAGCACCTCGTCCGACTGCTTGATGCGGGCGAGAAGCTCCACCAGGAAGCTAGCACACTGCGTCCCGTGGCGGAAAAGCTCCTCAAACAAGAGGTGCCAGACCCGCTGGTACGCAACAAAGTGGTTCTCCTGTTCACTGCTGTAGAAGGTGTGGTGGGCCATGAAGAAGACCAAAAAAGGAATGGTGTATTCGAGGAAGCACGTCAGGGCCTCAGGCGAGGACAGTGTCGCGCCGGAGCTTCTCTGCTTCGAGCGAAGGTGGTCACCAACCTGCTGTAGGAGGGCGCGGAGGTAGTAATACCCACTTTTCGTCTCCTCACTAATGACGGTGAGGATCAGAAAAGACACGTAACGCATATCACATTGGTTCTGCATGATATGCGAGGTCATCTTCTTCTGCAGTGAGCGTCGCACAATCACCTCGTCCTCGGCGGAGAGAATCACTGCCACGGCGAGCTCCTTGGCGATGTCAGACGATGGCCTAATCACAAGCTTCGATAGCTGCTGGTTAATAGAAAGCCGACGACGACACGCGCCAACCGTGCTTGGATCCCACTCGCTCGCTGCCTTGTAGGCGGCGAGCAGGATATTAAGCGTCGAGGCCACAGCACCTGCAGCACGATCTGGGGAATAGCTCAGCGCGATTGCCGTCAGACACTTTGCTGCGGCGTCCACGACCGCGGCGGCAAGTGACGTGGGAACCACGTCGGATCGCTTTGCCTTGACCTTGGCCAAGTCCTCAGCCGCACCTCTGTCAAGAACAGCGGCAAGCAAAAGGTCGGTGAGGCTGCGCATCAAAGCCTCGTCCTGTAAAAGCGGTGCCACCGTGCTATCCTTCGCGAAGGCCGTCAATGCCTTCAGCCACCCAACGGCACTGAGAAGCGTGGAAGTCGCCGAGCTACGGATGCGAGTAAAGAGAGACTTAACCAACTGACTGAGTGCCTTTGACTCCTGCAAACCGTTAACACTCATCAGGGCTATGAAGCAGCGGGCGGCATGCTTGCACACGGTCCCTACCATCTCCGATGTGGCGTCCCGCAAAAGTGGTTCGTGGCTGCAGGAACATAATTGACCCAAGGCCGTGAAAAGAGCCTTTTTTGCGTGCGGCAATAGTATTGACGGACGCGTTGTCCCTGTCGCGCTCCTGCTCCTCCACAGTGACCCTACTTGCGTACCTGGCCCACTCGGTGACAGAATTCAAAAGGAGAACCACCCACGATGTCGGGATGTTCGCGTTGCTGCTTTGGCAGACAAGCTCTACCATGTCTACAAGAGGCACGGCGCAGCGTGGCAGGAACGACGGGGCAGTGCGCGCAAAGACGATGAGTGCACGGAGCATGCCCTCCACCTCGCACCGGACCTCCGCGTCCACCGTTGCACCTTCATCGCCGCAGACACCACACAGGTTCTCGCGTAGACGCACAAACAACTCGTTGACGTGTTCCACCTCAACCGGGAGCATCATCTGCCTCGATAAACTTTCCTGCACAAACTTGAGCACGTGCCCCTCAACCCGGCCTTTGAGCGCCTTGACAAGTAACTCCCGTTCCCTCGCGTAGTGAAGGTGTCCCTCCGCACAACAGCCTAAGAACGCCTTGGAGACCTTGTCGTCCTTGGCGCGAAACAAGGCATCCCACTCCCCTTTTTCCGCGTGCGTCATGGTCTGCAAGAAGTTGAGAAGTCGATGAATGTTGTTGATCATCTCTTGCCCCTCAGCCGACTTCAGGTCCTTACTTCGCACCTCGGCACGCAGCTGGAAGAGACGCAATATCGTGAGCCGTAGCTGCGCCTTCTTCGCGGCAAAAGTGAGCAGCTTGTTAAAACTCTTGGGGCTGAGGTGAGAGCAAATTTTTGCAAAGCCGTCAGCGTAGGAGCGTTCCTGCGTGGCGTTCTCCTTCTCAAAGTCAAAGAGCGCCATACTTGCCCGCGCCGAGCGGCGACCGGTGGGCGACGACTGCGCAAACGCAGCAGACGACGCGTCGCCAGACGCCACCCGTGACGGGGGCGGAAGCATGGATTCAAAGCTAGCCTCCAACAGCGACACGCCCCCCTCAGCATTCAGGCACTGCATCACCGCGTCCGGGATCCACGGAAAGAGCAGGGCGCGGTAGATGCCGCCCAGCCGCTCCACCGCCGCTTGGCGGACCTTGACGTTTTTGTCGGCGACGCGCAGCCCGAGCGTCTTCTCCATTCGGGCGGACGTCACAAGCGACGGGGCGGCAGCGACGATGTCAGCGTACGCGAGCACCGCCGCGCGACGCACCAGCGCGTGCGGATCCACAAGGTGAAGTTCCACAAAGGGAAGCAAATCGCGCACGCGCTCCTCCGCAAAGCTTGCCGAGACTTTGGTGGAGTCCCCAATGGCGCTTGCCGCCAGCTGCGCCATTTCAATGCGCAGCGCGTGCTTCGGGTCGTTGAAGCGTTTGAGAAGCGCGAGAAAGGCGTGGCGGTACGTCGAGCTGGCGGCCTCATGGGCGCCAAAAGCCATGAAGAAACCACGCAGAAACAACAGGCGAATATCCGCATTTTCGTGCTCCAGGTACGGGAGGAGCGCAGGGACAAGTTGCCCGACGAGGTCAACATGCAGCTCCATCAGCGCCACGAGGCACTCCATCGCCCGCCCAACCCTGCGCAGTCCACGGCGCTTTTCTTCCAGACCCTCGTCCGTGACATCCGCCGCAGCCACTTCGCCCATGCCCTGCTCAACCAACTCCAGAACGTAGCCAGCGACGGCGGGGTGAATCACATCCAACGTTTCCAAAAAAACACGGGCGGCGATAATGGCACCAGGCGTTCGGCCAGTTTTCCGGGTTGTGCCTGCAACTGGTTTACTACCGGCCGTACTTACAGTTGCCCGGGTTGACTCCAGACGACGCAGCAAGGTGGGTGAAGCGGCCGTAATCTCCGCCAGAAGTGGGGCGATCTCATCGGGGGTGATGGATTTGGTTGCGCCAAGAATATCAACGAGAACCCTTCCCATTTCCGCAGCAGTTATTGCGGTGATCGCGTTGTCACTGTTTGTTGGGGACTCCTTTTCTGGACTTGCCCCAGCAGCCTGATGAATGCTACTAAACATGCATGTTAGGCGCTCCTGTACCGGCCGGCGACAGTGCGGAATAATGTACGCAAAAACGTGGGAAACGCTTGCCCGCTCAATGAAATGCTCGCACGTCTTCAAGCAGGTCTCGCCTCTGGCCACCTGTTCAAAGGGAAAAGTTAGACACGACAGGACATCATCGGCGTGGCTCGCGTCAAACGGTAGCGCGGCGAACGTGCCCTCCGCCGAGGATTCCTGCTTGTTGCCCAGCCGAACCAAGTCGGACAGCAGGCACCCTGTCATTTGCCGCACACCGTTAAGGCTGCTTTTCAAGTAACGGGGGTTGAGAAGCTCCTCGATAAAGGCCGCACTGATGGAAAAGGGCGGAGTTGCCGCCCGAAGTACGCGATGGCACTCGAACAGCCATGCTAGCAGCTGCGCGTCCGCCTTGCTGTGGAGCGCAGTCCCTGAAAGAACGGAGTCGCTGCTCTCGCCCGGGACTTCGCGGCGTGCCCGCTTGCTTGAAACCACAGGCTCAGTTGTTCGGTTGCCCTCGCTATTTCGCCCTCTTCGCGTGGCTGTGGAAGACATTTCCTTTTTCTTCCTTTTTTTTTCTATTTTTAATGTGTTTTTGCTGTTGTTGTGTGTGTGTGTGTGTTGTTTTTTTTTGCCTCCTTCTGCGTGTGTGTGCCTGTGGTTTCTCTGCCCCACCCTCCCTCGCTGAGGCCGCCTCTGTGTGCCGGCTACGCGCCGCGAAACTGCTTGCGCCGACGCGGGCAGGCAATCACGCACCCGCAGCGAGAGGGAAAAAGAAAGAGAAAAGAAAAATGAGGGGGGGGGGGGAAAGAACAAATAAAACAAAATTGAGGTAAACTCCAAAACGGGGATGCAGCACCGAAACAAACACTTCCAGAGCAAAGTTTCGTCTTTTGCTCGTAGAGCCTCCCCGCCGTGTCTCCTCAGCCCCGCCGCCAGCAAAACTTACGAGAAGCGCAGCAGGGGAGAAGGAAGGGAAAATAAGATGCACACACCCACAGAGAAAGAGAGAGAAACAAATAATAATCATCCGATAAACTTGGAGCTAAGAACTCCTTCTGCTGGACGAGACCGTCGGTTCTGTTCCTCCAGCCATGGGGCATTAATGCCAAAGGTGGCTGCGCCTCGCTGTAGTTTCTGCTTCAGCTCATCAATCTGCCGCTGCTGTTGAATGAGCAGCGCTTTGTACTCCAATCGCATCGCCCCCAGTTCCGCATCTTCCCCCACCGAGCCCTTTGCCCACTGATCCTCGCTGGAGCTCTGCAGTTGCAGCGAAGAAAGCATTTCCTGCTTTTCTCTGTATTCTCTGCAGCAAAAACGCCGCCTCATCCTGCACAGAGACAAAGCGGGCAGCAGTCTCATTCCTCCTCCTTCGTGAGGACACAGCAGTCACACTGCCACCCATCACGTTCCCGGCGTCCTCCTTTTTCCCCGCATCCTCATCGCTGTTGTCGTCACTGTCGCAGCTAACGCTATCCCGTATGCGGCGTATACCTCGCTCCAGGGCCTGCAGCGCCTCGGCAGCCTCCACCACTGCCTTGCGCCACTCTGCCGTTTCCTCTGCGCACAGCGGCGCGAGCGGTTGGCCCGTCTCGGCCAACTTGGGCTCGTGATTGGAGCCAAAGAAGACGCTCGCCTCATCCTCAAGCATCGTCTGCCGGCGGGCCGCATACTCCGCCAGCAACGCTTGAATCGCTTCCTCATGCGGCCTCTGCGTGCTGGCCCGTTCCTCCTCAAGCAAGAGTTGGGGCACCGAGGTGCAGTCGATGCGAGCTCTTGCCGCACTGCACAACTCGCGGTAAGTGACGCCAAACTTCCACCGCAGCTCTTCTCGAACAGCCTCCCTTGCGAGTATTCGGTACTGAGGCAAATTTGGGACGTTTGGAAAAGCCGCTAGGAGTTGCCCCGCACACGCCTCCACGAGGTCCTGGATGTGACGCTGCGCGAGAAAAACGGCAAACTGGACCTCAAACGCTGGCAAGCCGCACATATGGAGAAGGTCCTCCGAGGAAGAAATTGTGAAGTGCGACATTCTTCCCATGATCGCCGCATAGAATTGGGAAATGGCTGGTGAAGCCGCATCAACGGTGCCTCCACACTTCGCTTGCAACGCGCTTGCCCTCGTCTGCCGGTCCGCAGCAATGCCACCACCGAGAGACACCTGATCCCTGGCGTTGCTCATCACTCCGTTTGCCTCATTAAATTCAGCCATGGAGTACGGCCTCAGCGGTGCGGCTGAGTCCAACGGCGGGGGAATTTCAATGCGTTCACCGGCGTCCAGCAAACGCTTTTTTGCCGCCCTTGCAACGTCGCGCATATTCACCACACCCTTTGCTCGCGGGGAAAAGCCAAGTGCCTTAAGCGGGGACACGTTTCTGAGAGCGCTGCGCCAGGTATGCGAGTCCCCTTGGCGGTGTGCTTGATCCTGCCGCCCCGGCGTGGTTGCCACGGGGTCGATAAAAATGGAGTGATTGAACTCTTCCTTCAATGAGACCTGCGCCTGCTGAAGAAAAATTTCCCCCTTCTTTGGATCCGCAAAGGCCGTAACAATTCGAATAAGTTGCAGCACAACTGGGGCGTTGCGACAGTGAAAGCGCATCAGGTAGGAAAAGGGAGGGAAGACGGTGCTGGGCGCGGCGTCGCCCTCCGCAACCGCCTCACTTCGCCTGGCAGTACTGCCGCCGCCTCGCTCGCCCGTCTCGCGGGGGCCCACGAGATGCAGCGGCTGCCGACAACGCATGTAGAGGCTCTGCATGTCAAAATCCGGACCCAACACGCGCTGAGTGACAACGTCAACCCGGGCTGTGTCAGCGCCCGTGTCTGTGGCTGGTCCCAGCAGCGCCGCATTGATCACACGTCCGTCATCGGCGGAAAAGAGGTACAGCTGGCCGCGCTGCGATATTAACAGCGCGCAAGGCACCCAAGAGCCCTCAGGGCCAGTGGATCCCGAATACACATCGAGACGCGTGGCAAAGCATGGTCGGAGGGCATACGCAGCCGTCTGACCGGCACGCAGCAACCCCAGAAAGAGTGGACTCAACGCAATGACTCTGGGCTCCATCTGTGTCGCGGCATCGGAATTCATGGAGAGGGGAGGAAAGAACGCGTACCTACACGCACTGACGCGCATATTAGGGCGCGTCCAACGGCAAGGGACGGGGGAGGAGGAGGATAACAAAAAGCAAAGGAAAGATGGGGGTTTGGGTGCTGAGGCAGACGCAGCTCTCGGCGGCCCAAATCAAAAGGCAAACCTCACATACATATACACATAAATAAAAATAAAAACGAAATACGTTCAATAATGATCCCCAGACACAGGCAGGAGTCGTTCATAGCAAAAAATCAAATAGACCCCCTCGAAAGAGAACGGGACTCCCCGCAGTCACCGCAGCTCCGCCTTTCCCAGCATCGTTACCTCCACCGCCACTCGTGCTGGACAACAGCTGATTCCCCTCTTCAGACTGCAGATGCCGCTGTCGCCGTCGGCGCTGCTCTTCCCACTCCGCAATACGCTCTTCGGCATCCAGTTCCAACCTATGTATCTCCCTGTACCAATAGTGGAGCATCTTGAGCTCATTCTGCTGCTCTGCAATGAGGCCAAGGTACCGTTGTTGAACACGGGCTTTCGCAGCAGAAACTGACACTTCACGCTGCAATAAACAACGCTGCGCGTGCTCGCTGGCTTTCTTCATCTCTTGTTGTAGTCGGCGTAACACGCGACGAAGGCACACCACCTGATCTTCCGCCATGGCCGCCGCAGGTGTGCGCAGTGCGGCCTCCTCATCAGAGCCAAAGTGTGTCCGCGTTGCGCCGTCACGCGCGCTGAAGATGCGGGGCGCGGGACGCTCGCCTTCGCGGTGGGTGTAGTAATGCTCCAGCGCACGTTTGTATTCCGTTTCCTTCTCCCGTTTACGCGTTAACAACACCTGCACCCACCTTTCGTACGCGCGATGCCGCTGCTGTCGTCGCTCCTCCTGAAACTCCGTCTCTAACTTCTGCCGCAGCTGCGCCAACTCTTCCTGGTGCGTGGTCTGCTGCGCACGGCGGAAGGCAAGCAGCTCGCCACTGGGTTCGCTGCAGGCGCGCAGGTGGTGCTGTCTCGCCTGCTCCAAGGCCAGGGAATAGGCCTCTTCAAACTTGCGGTGCAAGAAGGAGACGAATTCGCCGCGTACCCGCGCGTCCTCCACCAACGGGAGAAGCGAATTTTTTGCTTGCGTCCTCGCCGTCGCGTCACTTGACTCCGTCGCCATTTTGTTGACAGCCGCCTGCGATGGCGGAACGCCGCCGACGCCGCCGAGGCGAAACGCCGCCTCCTCACTTGGCGGCGCAGCGGCCAACCGCGGCGTCCCCTGCTCCTCCTCCTCCGCCCCACCATGGGGCGATAGTCCAGCCGCAGGGCCCGTGGTCCACTCCCACGGCGTCTTCCTCTCAGGTGCTGCCGCGTCGCCGTGGCGGTTCGCGCCCTCACACGCGCGCTCCCCCAACTCCGCAGGCGGCGCCGGGGCTGCGGAGAGAAGGCCCCCCTCCGGCATCCCCCACCTCTTCCTTCGCCGCAGCCACGAGGCGGCGGCACACCCAATCCGCTGCCTAGCAAATACAAGACGTGAGTAGTAAAAAAAAACAACAACAACAACCGACGCGGAAGCGGTCATTTAAAACAGAGAGGGGGAGAAAGAAGGGTTGGAAGGGAAGCGAGGAAGCACACAAGTAGCAAAAAAAAAAAAAGCTGCACACACAAAAAGAGGGACCTTCCGGCGCCACCCCAGTGGCGTCGTCGCTTCGTTGCTCTCCCCGCCGCCCCACTTACACCAAACGCCCATTTCCCATTTCCCCATTTCCCCATTTCCCCATTTCCCCATTTCCCCATTTCTGCTTCAGCGAGCTCTTGCTCGCCTCTATCCGCACGGCAGTTGTGGGCCTCACGCCAAGTTCTGTTTTTCCCGAACATTTGCGCAGAAGCACTGCAGAGCCCGTAGAATAAGTCGCTCCCCCTCATTTGCCCCTTGTTGCAGCTCGGCAATCGGACTGCCAAGGAACCCCAAGTGCCCTCCAGAGGGCAGCTCAGCATATGTCACATTTGCATTGATGTTCGCGAGCCTCTCCCAGCGACGAATGCTTTGTGGCCTGCCGCAGATGGGATCATCGCGAGTGGCGATGCACAGGACGGGAACTTGTGCCGTTAACAGCGAAGCAAAGCAGTTTGCAGCGTTGTAGTACTCCTCGGCTGAACTGAAGCCAAAGTGTGGGGCAGTGATGTAGCGGTCAAATTGGGCAACCGAGCCTAGCCGGTACAAGAGCGGGTGGTTCCCCTTAAATAGCAGCTCGGTGTTTACAAAGGGTAGCTGTTGCATGACCGTCTTGTGACGGTCCGCGTAGGCAATCAGTCCCTTGACGAAGCCACGCCCGTACAAGAAATGACTCATAGCTTCATCCGACGCATTTAAATCATACGGTGTGTTTAAGGCAATGGCTGCGCTCAACTGGCTCGGATCCTTCCGGAGTCCCTGTTCTCCGAGATACTTGCAGAGGACAACCCCACCAAAGGAGAGTCCCAACGCAACCAGAGGCCTTGGTTGACCGCACTTCAGCCGTTCTTGGACTTGTCTCGGGTTAAAGTGGTTCTTTAACACATGGCGGAGATCCGCGGTGTACACAGCGCTAAAAAGCTGAGGTCGTTCCAGGGGCGTACCCCGAACCCCGCGCGCATTCAGCACCGCAACATAAAAACCCTCTCGGGAGAGCAGGGTCGCCGTGCGCCGTAAGTAGCCCGATAGCGAGCTGCTCAAAAGACCTGGGACAATCAGCACCAACCCCCGCACGGCTGTGCCGCCGTCCGGCGTTGGGGGCAGGCAGTCAATACAGAGTGGGTTGCCATCCTCCGCCGGCACCGTCTCACGGGCGTAGTCAACTTTACAACACGGACGCAGAGGGGCGAGAATGGTGTGCACGTGGCCATTGTACATGGGCCCCTCGTACTTGGTGCAGCCACCCAACCCGAAGGAATCGTAGACGGCAGAACTCCGCAGCGATCGGGCGGTCGCGACGCGGCGCTCCTTCCACGGGGCAAGCGTAAACTCCTTTACCCCAATCATCCACTCAAGTAGGCATATGGGCCAGCGGAAAAGCAGATTAAATAGCGTCCCTGGAACAACGTAAAATACAATGTGCACCACAAGGTGAAGGAGGAAGAACCCAACGTGACTTGAAAACGGCACCATTGGTCGGGGCGATAGATGACTAGTTGCTAGTGTAATATAGGTTTAAGTAATGCACTTAAAGCTTTAAAAACGCTCTCAGTAAAACGATAAAACTAGGGTGGAGGCTTTTGACCTAACGGTACGCCGCAGACACCCGCGGGGAAAATGGAATAAATCAACAAATTGAAAAGACACAAACGAAGCGAAGGTGCGTGGCTCATCAAACTGCCAAAAAAACAACAACAATGTATCTAATACACACGCGCTCTCAGAAGCACACATGGAAGCAGCAGCACTTCCTTCTTTGTTGTTGTTTACGTTACGGGGAGTGGAGTTTGTGTCCCTTACTTTCTTCTCGCTTTCTTCGCTCTTTTCCCGGATCCCTTCCTCACTCCTTCTGCAGGCTCCTCCGTCTTGCTCGATTTGCTCGCTTGCTTCTGCGGAGATGCACGCATTAAACCCGTAATATCAATAGTAAGTAAATAGAAAAAGAAGGCAAAGCCATCACACATGTATATATATATATATAATTTTTTTCCTCTCTCTCTGTTTTTCGTCTCATCCCGCCTCGTGTTCTTTTTTTCCCCCCCCTCGTTGTTTCTTCAAACTGAAGCGTGCTTCTGTTATCCTCGCTCCTCTTCCGGGTGTGTTGGGGCCGCGTAGGTGCGGCTGCACGATCCACCGCTCCCCTCAATTTACCAACAAAAGAAGAGGAGGAAAAAACAAACGGACACACACGCTCACGCCCACATAAAACAAAGAACCCCCGC